TGAACAAGAAACATTCAAACTTCGATTAAGAGTTAGCCATAGCTCTGATTTTAGTAAACGTATAGTCAAACTGATCGGATCGATGAGACGGATCTAATGATATGAAGATCAGTCTAATCCAAGTCAAATCAAGTCCGAATCAAATCATTAAACCTCTATTGGAGGATTTTCGGAGGCATTTGAAAGGTCAAACGGGAGGCATTTGAAAGGTCAAACGAATGTCGAATCTAGCGAGTTTATAGTTGAATCGAGCATCTCGACAAGACAAATACAACGAGCCCAAAATTGTTTAATTCCGACATCATTAAGGCACTCAAATGTCCATCAAACGTCATCTGATCAAGGGAAGCTCTCCGGACCGTCCGATCAAAATGGTTCATACTCTTGCATTAATTACACTCAAAACACTATAAATAGAGGCTCACCCCTCACATGAAAGAGAGGAGACTTAAGAGATAACTTGAGACTTTGAGAATGAGCTTAAGTCCAAGATCATCCTCGTCATCGTTGATCGCCGTCGACCCCCACTGAACGCTGACAAACCCCCTCTGTCAACCACCGCCGGCCACCATTGATTGCCACCTATCACCGCCGACCGTCATCGATTGTCGTCGACTACCGTTGATCACCGCCGACCTTCGTCAACCCTTTCTCGTCTGTGGGACAAGGGACATCTGTAATCATAAACTTATAGTGAATTTTTACAACTGGGTCGACCCTGTGGTTTTTCCCCTTTACGGGTTTTACACGTAAAAACTTCTGGTGTTATCACAGCTTAATTCATTTTTATCTGAGTGTGTGTTGAATCCTCGCGCAACGCTAAGCTATTACTCTACTGCCGCAAATTTTCTAGCACGCATCAATACTATTTTATATGATATTAAAGATTTGAGTATTATGTGTGCAAATACAAAATTTAGGGGTCAAATATATAAATACATAACAATTGTGTGCTATGTATGTTAAAATGTTGGTGTCATAAGCCTATGCATCAAAATGTATATATCACTTTTAAAAAGATAATGATGATAACACATTTATGTGATGTTAAAATTTTGAGTTGTATGCGTGTAAATATGAATGTTTAGGCATTAGCTATGTAAATACATAAGAATTGTGTGATTTATATGTAAATTCCCCTTCAAAAACAAGCATAAAGGCCTTGTGATCCATTTTGATTCGTCAATAAAATTGGATTATCAAAATCAATAAAGCTATTACCGAGCGCTTGTCGCTTTTGGAAGGAGATGGTGTTAGCTTGTGGATGCACGAGTTTGGTGTCCTCGAGCTCGTCCTCGGACTTGGCCTCCTCTTCATAGAATTCATCCTCGCCATCGCCATCATCAACGCCATTGCGATCACCTTCTTCGATTTGAATGGTGCACGGTGTCTCTGGGTCACGAGCAAAGGAGTCGATGGTGGAGCAGACATGCCATTTGGCTGCATGGCTAGTGAGAGCCTGAGCCTTATGGGTGATCTTTGCCGCACTTCGTAGGCATATCAGCAGCCCTATCACCAATGTGATGGAGCAAAGCTGCAGTAAAAAAACAAGAAAATTTAGAGCAAAGAACTCATTAGCAAATTGGGTAACAAAATCAGAATGCTTTAATGAAAAAAAAAAATTAAAAACAGGTGGTGGAATTAAAGACCGGCCTTTGCCATTTTAATTGAATCAGCTATCAATTTATCTGTACAATAGTACAGATTAAAATATGAACTTGGACTTGATTGACGAGTTCTCAACATATTGATATTCAGTATTCAAGTAATAGTTTTGTGGCGTTCAAATGCTGATGAAGCTAAGGGTTTTGGTGAGAAGATATTGCGTACAGTCTCCGCATGTCCGGACAATGTCGCGGATGGGCATTGTGCGAATGCACAGTAGTGCGACCTCATCAGGGCCATTATCCAGATGCGCGGACATCAACACTCAATAGTTTTTCCTATTGGGGACAATTTTCTGTCTGCTTTGAGTTTAAGACCGCAATTACATTTTGTTTGAGAACTACAATTTTATTATTTTTTAGAAATATCTGTGGCGCATTTTACTTTAAAAAGAAAGTGATACTGATAACTTGATGCGATGTTAAAAATTTAAGCGATATGCATATAAATATGAATGTTTGGGTTTTTTATATGAAAATACATGAGAAGTGTGTGGAATGCATGCAAATTCCCCCATTAGTAATAACCAGACCACTTTTCTAGCAGACTTACTTGTGATGTTGTGGTTGGACAAAGAAGCTAATAAATTCCTTCACGGATTTCATAAAAACAACTAACTTTGCTTTCCTACTAAAGCCTCACGTTATGCATAGCATTCACAAGAGTTTCACCATTCATGTTCGTGTTCAACTTATTCGTAATATATATATATATATATA